CAGAATCATTATGTCAGTGCAAATGCAGAATACAGGACAGACAGATGCTACACTTGGATCATAGAGAAGGCTCATACCAAGAGCAGCAGCTCATAGTAGCCATAACTATTTAACATTAAAGATGTACACTGCTGTCTACTTAATTTTGCATTAATTTGCCCTCCACACCACCACCCCCAAAAAATTCTGGCAACACAAATAAATACACCCCCCCCAAATATCCATTTGGAAGCATTCAGCATATTAATATATTTTTCACTCTAAAGACCCACGCTGGAATCCTCCAGTGAACTGTCATTAGAAACCCATGACAGCATCACTTCCAGTGACCCAAGGACTGAGGGACAGCCCAGCCTCCACAGGCAGCCCCTCCTGCTGCTCCACAAGAGCTACAAGTATTGGTCATGTTTCTTCAGCTGGGCTTTAGGTCTCTTGCAGGCTGATCCTCACCTTTGCAGTCTGAAATCTTTGAGGCCAGCTTAGAAATGCATCCCCAGACAGATCAGAGCCTCAGAGCTGTTCCTGGGTTCCCAATGCCCAGGAAGGCTCCACTCCCCAGCTCTCAGCACAGGCCAGCAAAGGCAGCTCAGCTACCAGAGAGCTGAGAGCGTGGTGCAAATGCAGAGCCAGAAGGACTCTTTCAAAATTAATACTGTCTAATTGCACATGGGAATACAGTAAACTGAAGAAGGAATTAAAAGAAATTAATTCTCCCAAATTCTTCCTATCTCTTACTGAGGGAAAACTTATCTTAGCCTCGTTATCTTCTAAGGACAGGGTTCTGTCTGCTCAAAGGTGCTTCTCAGTCTCTTCTGGGGCTTTTATTTTTAACCAGGGGTTTGTTCAATCCAAGGCTGCTGAAACTCCTCAGCTCATATCTGGTATCACACCCTGAGATACTGGAGATAGAATTTAAAGCACTGTTAGCACTCAGCACAATCTACTGTTGTCAAAGGGATTATTGAAAGCTACTCCTTGTCTGCTGCAGACATAGGATGGGAACCCAGCAAGAGATAACCCTTTGCATGCAAATAGCAAAGCAACATGAAACAATAAGAAACAACAATAAAGAGGCAAGCAATATTATATTCTTCTCTAGGTATCAAAAATCAACTGACAGTAACATAATCCTTTTAAGCTTGCAGAAAATGCTGTGGCCTGTTGGGCTGCACAGTTTTGTTGCCCTGTGGCAGAGAGCTGAGCAGAGCTGTTTTCACACCAGCTGAGCACAGCTCAGTGCAAGGCTGACCAAGAGCACTCCCCCTGGGGGTGGGTGTTCCCAACCATCCTCTGGGATGAGGTAACTCCAGGAACAGTCCTGGCAGTAGACAGGAGAACACAGACTGGGGTCCTGCACTCTCTCCTCAAAACAGTGGGCTGTTTTCCTTCCTTAATCCTTAAACACTGGTTGAGGAATCATGGGGAGACAACTACAGAGTAGAAACACCACCCAAATAATAATAATGCCCCTCTGGATCATTTTATATGACTACAGTCATATAAAGAAGAGAATGGAGAAGCAATGCTGATAAAATACACCACATAAAATAAAGAGTTAAAAAACTGGGTAGGTGCAGGACATACACTAAAGAAAGTTTTGCAAAAGTAAAAAAATACACTTTTTTTTACTGACTGCAAGGAAAAGCACCCACTGTCCTATTGAGATCCTTGTGTTATTCATCTACTTCTACGAACAAATACTGCAGAAAGAGGAAGTTTCTTTTTACATATAGCTTCCTGATTCTCTGGTTCAATAAAAATCATTACAGATTTATTTATTCATCTACCTCTATTTACAGATAGAATCAAACTGTTAAAAATTTCACCCGCTGATAGCAACTATGAAAGACTTTGGGAAAAAGCCCAGCACATTACCAAGATCAACTGATCAAGTGCTTTCAGAATCCAGCAGCAAAACCCAGAATCTTGACAAGAGCACTGCAATCAGAGTGCTAATGGAACACATGTTGCCATCACAGCACAGACAAAAGAGGTGAAATGCTGTTATTTGTTATTCCTGAACCCTGCATGCCTGGATGCCCATTTGTGCCTGCAAACACTTGCAGAGTATAAGCTTCAAGGAAAATAAAACCACAAGAGTATCAGAAAAAAACCTGTACCATAAAGGAGAAAACCCTCCCAGGCCAAGCTCTCCTCGGGAGTTTGCACTGAACAGGCAGGGAAACAAAACCCTCCCGGAGTTTTCAGCTCCAGCGTTGGTGGTTTTTTCCAAAGGTCACTAGCATAGACTTCCACTCTCTGTGCATTCCCTCTGAAGTGTTTTAGAGAATCCACAAACAAAAGAGAATGTCTAATAACATCTCTTATGTATTTGTTAGTCTTTTTATGAACTGTACGTGATTGCACTTGCACTGCTCCTCTCCTTCCCTCCATCACCTCGTGTTCTGCATCCTTTATCTCACCAGCTCTCCCATCCAAAGTTAATAGTATTTTTACCACCACTATTTTTTCATTATTTATATAGTTCCTTCTCTCTTTCTCCACTACAACAATTCATAATTGATTTAGATATTGCTGTATATTTTGATAGGTTACCATCTAAAGCCCCAGTTCAGTAAATTACTGAAGTGACTTATATGTTAGGACCAACCCTACCCAATATGTTGATGGATTATGTGGATACTGTTGTAAATCAGTTTTTTCAAGATGAGCTGCATTATCATTACTTTAGTTCTTGAATACTGTGACTACACTCTTCACAGCTAAACATGTTCAACAGCATTATGGTAAAACATCACAAAAGAGTGACAATTCTATTAAACTTCCAAGTACTCTGACAAACAACATTAACAAACTGAAATTTTAAGTCCTGGCATTAAGACAACACCTCTCAAAAAGAAACAATAAATAATTTGAAGAATTTGGTGCTTCATTAAGTACCTCATTACCAGTACCAGCATGAACATAAGACGCTGAGTTTAGGGATTTTTCATTTTTGTCAATAGCTAGCAAGATCTGCCAGGGGTACTGAAGCAACCAGCTTTCCTACCAGCAAAAGCAAGGAGACAGGCAGCACTGAGCCCTGGCAAGCAGCACCATGGGAAAACTCAGAACTACTTTCCCCTGGCATCAAAAGTTACCAGCACATTATAGAGGCCTAAATTAATAATTTTTTCTCAGGCATATAGTTCAACTCTAGCTTTTTGCTTGGGCAGTAATTAAGTGAGGTAAATGTTATTCTTAGATTTTAGAATTGCACAGGGATAACAGACTTTACTATCATCTTGGAAAGTCCTAATCACTCAACTCTGCTGCACTGGCTTTAAATATTCAAAGAGATTCCTATGGGAGCCATCCATTGCCAGTTTTATATAGCTGCTAACATTTTTACTATAATCCCTACTGCCAGCACTGGACTATGCTCAGCTGTGCCCAGCTCCTTTTCAGCTCATTCTTTGACTGCGATTTTCTCCCTCACTCTGCAAACCAAGGCTTATTTGGTACCATACAATCTCCATTTTAAGCACATCTTTTAGGCTTTAGGCTGGAAAGCAGCTCAGCATATAAAGATCAGCACACAGGCACACGATCGACTGCAAACTCCAGGGTCTGCTCTTCATTTGACAAACAAATCCACCACAGCAAAGTCGAGTGCCAATCTCCTGAGAACATTCCTGAAGAAGATGGGAGTGGATGAGGGCTAACACACACTAAAGAGAAGGCAGCTGTTTATTAACTGGATGTTGTAATAAGCTTTCTATTTTCCCAGTGCAGTTACAGGCAATATTTACAAGGCACACCTTCAATCAGGGGGGTAATTTCCGCCTTCAGACAATCTGAAGGGGTTTAATTCAGAGGCATCTCTTCACATCAGCACACCCAGCTCATTTCCTGTGCAGTGCAAGGTAGAGGGATGCAGTACACCGAGTGACCACTCAAATGTTTCCAGGTGCTCTGCCTGACAATGCAGAATTAAAGTATCCTCTGTGAGCTGATTTCCTGTGATTCACAATCACAGAGCTTTGCTCTAATCACTAGTTAGGGCTAAAAATTTCAGTTTAATTTCAGGGACACATGACTCACCTAAGCTGTCATGACCCACTGCTGCCTGGTTTCTTCCATTAACATAACTGCAAAAGTGGCATTGCTCTCTACAGAAAGTAAATTTATACATATTGTTTTACAAAGTTATTACATTTGAGGCCTGCTCAGTTCATTAGCTAATATGACCAAATGAAAGTTTATCAAAAAACAGATTTTTCCTCCAAGTTGGGTCACAAATGTAATAGCAGAATGCTTGTTAATATAGTACCAGCAGGCATTCAAAAATAATGTCAAGCAGTCATTCCATTTGGCAACAGAAGTTTCATTTGAGTTCCAGCTGCAAAATTTGGCCTTATGCAATTCAGCTGCCAAAAGACCAACAGAAATCCAAAGCTGATGATGTAAGATTAGAGCCAATGGCTTCTTAGCCTGCAAGAAAAATTCTGCTAAGTTGATACATGCTTATGGACATTTTCAAGTGAAAAGTTCATTACATTTATTCAGTTAATCAATACACAATCCCTACAGGCTACCATCTGAAAAATATAATCAGTTCAAGGAAATTCTTTAAAAATATGAAAAGAGTAAGTTTTAGTAAATTCTAGCTCCAGATCCTTCCCCTTAGCTTAATTAATTCATTGGTTTTGCAGGAAACGATTGAGGCTATGAAAATCTTTGTTAAGTCAGAATTACAACTCCTGTGGCTTCCATAGCCAAATTTTGTGGACAAATAAGGAGCCTCAACTGCTCAGGGAATTCCTTCATCATGTGGAGTCAGAGGGAAGTAGCTTACTGTGCAAATGAGGCAGTCAAAGACAGAGTGGATCTCTCAGATGTGTATCCAGGACAGGCAATGATGTGTATCACACATCAAATACACACACATCATACAGATCAGTGCCCATCAGCTGGGTGGTGTTCCTGTATCTGTGCTAGGTTTTGAGGTAACAGCTGTTATGCAGTGGATCCTAAGGAGATTTTCTGCTCTCATTCACCTTTCTATACTTCAGCCTCATTACCACGATGCTTGCAGATGTCAAAAGAGCTCCATCGAGCTGGGACAATAAAAAGGCTTAAACACGTGAAGCTGTAGCTGCCATCTCAACAAAACACTCCCAGAAGAAACCCCTGGTTGACAGGAGCCAGAAGCTTTAGTATCTTAGTTACTTTTAAATTTTAATTCCTAAGTCCCCAGCACACACAGCTGCACCCAGCAGATCTAAACCACAAGCCACGTTTTGGTTTGATAAGTTTCTACCCACTAGCAGACCAGCTTTTTAAATGTCATTGCAACATTTATTAATCCCTTTTATACCTCCACATAACTAACAGGAACAGATTTAGTTACCTTTCTGGCCGAGTTCTTATGTTTTAGCTGCTTTTTGAATGTTAATTATTAACGCTAACAAAGTGCACTTGCTGCTGTGCTGAACATTTCTTAGCATAGCTGTGGTTGCAACGAAGGAAACCTCACTGGGACATTATATAAGTGCAGTCACCATCAATTCCACTTTGTTGGTTTATGACTTCAGCAAAAATCAGCATGCAAAAACATTGCAATTTAGATATTTTTAATCACCTGCTATGAAGTTAAAGCCTGTTCTCTTTAATATGACCCACAAAAAAATCTAAACAGACTAAAAATTTTGGAGCTGCATGAGCTTTATGATGCCTCAGTCTTCAAGACTGACATTTCTAGTGCACAAAGTAACCCCTCAGAGACTTGAAAAAGTGTTAGTAAAACATCCTACAAAATTTCCACTTACATAACCAATCCACAGCCTTCCCACAAAGTTCAAGGAAGTAACCCTGGCAAGCTCACCATGTTATCAACAGCTCTGCCTGTGCTTTGCATTTGTTTGTGAGTGGAGGATTGAGAAACAAATAAAGCAGACAAAAACAAAACCCCCAAACAAACAAAAGGAAACAAACAGAAAAAACCCCTGAGATCTTGAACTCCTAGAAAGGATTTGCTTCAAGAAGTAGATTAGTGAAGGTATTAACAAGTGCTTTTCAAAGCAGTCACTAAATCAAGATGTTCAAATGGCACAGTGTTGTAGAATTGTAACATACAATTCTAATCAACGTTTGTGATGGTCATAGAAATTTATGACCAGCTTAAAAACTTACTGAGAATGATACTCCCTAATCTCTTGCTGTGTTCCTCAACCCAGAAAGCACAAACACAGAGCAGGAGAGAGAATATGGAACAGTGCCCTTTCCTTGAAGCTAAGGAAGGAGTGTTTGTGTAACGAGGAACAAGCTCTGACTTCACAGAATGATGGAACATTAGGTAAACACATCATGTCCATGGGGGAAAAGGAGGTTTGTCTTTGATGTTTGACAAATGCCTAAGGATCAGCTATAAGCAAATGTAGAAAAATCACAATTAAAGAAATTTTGTCTTGCACCAGTCTCATGTGTGAGTTCTGCCAGTGATCCTCTTCTTTGGTTTGTCCCCATATTGTCACCACCAAGGCTGTGCATGCCCAAAGTGAGGAGAGTACAACTCCAACAGCTTTACAGAGACAGCTACATGGTAGGCAGAATTCAAGTCAGAAGCCATTCTTTCTTCATCACATCTTACCCATTGTATAATTAATTTTTCATGGAACTTACTATATGCAATGTATGTTTTGAAATGCCAGATTCTCTCATACTTGACAAAACTGGGAACTGTGATGTGCAGAGAGAGAGAGAGAGAAGGGAACAATAGAAAGACCAGATTAGTGCATAACATTAAAAATACAAATGGTAAAATATAATGCACATGAAAGCTTCAAGTAGTGCACAGTCACATGCAAAGGTACCTCCTACCTATCACACAGATCTTAATTTCACAGCATCCATCTCTGTGTGGCTACATTCCAGGGAACAGTGTTGGCATGGTAACTGCAGGCTCTATGGCTTGCTTTTTTTCCTATTAGCAGTCATATGAGTTTTTTGGTAGCTTCAGGATCAAGTAAATTTAGACGGATAGCACTGTTTATTTGGGGAAAAAAAGAACAGGGGGGTTGTCTGAAAATAGAACCAATCTTACAGGGGGAAAAAACAGAAGCATAGCTTAGATTGAAAAAAAACCCCAAACCATAAGGAAAAGATTTACATGTCTGTACTCCTCCAAACAGTGTCAAGAAAGAATATGCATCCACAGCTTTGTGGATCTGACCAGAGCCATGCTAAGGACAGAATGGGCTAAACTGCATTTTCACTCTGATGTCTTCATTATCAACTTCAGTACAAAAGCAGAAGAAGACACAACTGGAAAAGGTCTGTAAATAAGTTACCTTAGTAGCCATTATATTGGAAGATTCACTTTTATCTACAGGAAAAACGGCAGTTTTAACAATTTTAACAGAGAAAAGAGTGCCTCGTGCTTCCGTTATTTTTATCACAGAAGAGTAACTTGCAGACTAATGAAACACTACATAACAGAAGGCTATCAGAAAAATATCTGGATATCATAATGCATGCAGCTTAACCTTATCTATCACAGGGTCCCTAAACTTCCCTCAGTGACCAAGCAAATGATTTCCTGTCAGTGCAGCCCCTTCCTCCATCTGCACAACAGACACCAACCCGGGCAAAGACAGGACACACTGAGAGTTCATCAGACAGTGCCCTGCTGAGGAGGGGCTAAGGGGCTGTAAGATATCCCCATGACAACTGCTGGCTGAATTAAGCAGTCTGATCACCCTCAAGGTTTCCATAACTCTCTCTTGTACATACCCAAGGGTTTGCTCAGGAGTCAGAACACCCTGAATCAAACAGTGCTCCAGGCACTACAGGCACCCACAGAACGTGATGCCTCTTTGCACCACCACGTAGGAGTACTGCCATCTCTTCCTGCAGAAACAAAGAGAGAACACAATTCTGATACCTTCTGGAAAGTTCTGTGATTGTGAATTAGCTGTGCTGTCACACTGGGATCTCAGCTACATTTTGGTCTTCCAAAGTGTATCTCATTTGCCAGATGATGATGTAAGAAAGAGAGAGCAATAACAGATTATCTTTTTTTTTTTAAAGTCAAATCTGTTTCAAAGGCACTTTATCCATTTTTTTCATACTGCAGTCTAGGCAACCATTAATCAAACCTCAACTTCATTCTTTTCTAGTTCTTTACAGCTTGCGAAAAAAACCAAGAAAAGCAATATAATTAACAGAAGTGTCTTGGCAATATAATTAACAGAAGTGTCTGGCTTGCTTGTAAGATCTCTCCCATCTCTCAGTTCTTCCACTTCACCTCCCCTAACATTAGATCTCTAAAACCACTGCCCTTTCCTGCTACCCACCAACATAGCTGACCTTTCTCAAAGTCAGTGGGACAAGTGGATGTGGAAATCCTTCCATATTCATGTTCAATAATCTAACAATTGGTGTCTGACAAAGAGAAGCCCTAATGTCTTGTCAAAGTGCAACCAATTGCAATTCAATTCTAGAGCAGCCAGAGTATTGCAGATCCTCTCTATAAGAAAGGTAAATACTTTAAAACAGGCAGTTCTTCCTCTCCCAAAGAAAATCCTGTTATTAAAAACAAGAAACTAAAAGAGAGGGGATATTACCTATTTTTCAAAGAAATGTTTATGATATGAAGAACTGAAGTGTTTTGGTGCATTTACACTTTTACTAACAGGAAAAAAAATGCAAACCTGATTAGTACATCCAGACCCTACTTTTCTGGAGAGCCCAGTTCTCACTAGTAAAGGTTATTGGCAGCATACTGATTAAGCAGGTATGGCCAAAAGCCAATCAGGAACTCAACAAGTATTTAAGAGCTTTTCTTCTTGATTGAACAACAGGGCTCCTCACCTCCACTCGAGCTCCATGAGCCTCACCTTGCAGAGCTCTGCTGTTTCTCTCACTGTGAGAGCCCAGGCTTGTCAGCAGGGGTTACCCAGTGCTCCTGACTCACTACCAGAGCTCTGGACAGTACCTGTACAGCAGCTCGGGAGTGAATCCACACAGAACTGAACAGATGGGTTCTTATATGGACATTGAGAGTGAAAAAAAATAGAATTTAAAAAAATCCAGAATTTTTCCCCCATAAAGTTTGTTATAACAGTTAATTCCATATTGTTCCTGTTGACCAGAAGCACCTTTAAATTTTATTACAGAAATTAATATGATCATCCACTTCCTTTTGTAACTTAGCATTTTTAATGACTCACACAGTTTGTGTGTGTTTGTGAGAGAGAGAGGACACCTTTGGTGCCCAAAATGGAAGTGCAAGATTAATTTCAAAACACCTAGGAAAGAGTTGCTCGTTTGCAAATTGCAAATATAGAACTTGAAGCAACACTGGGTGCAAATTTATGTCTTTTTCTATTATCAATTTCTTTTCAATAAAGGTTAGAATTGTAGGTAATAGTGCTCTCTTGCTTCCATAGCTACTGTAGTGCCACATATAGCATAGGGTGTTAAACTGAAAAATCAATGTATTCAGAGTTCATAAAAAGGATACAGTGGCAAGTGAACATGAATCTTCACAATTTCTTCAAAATCATTTTGGAACTCTGTCTATGAAGCATTTGAATGACAGAATGACAGATGGTCAAATAAGCATCCACATCTCAATGCAAGAGAATCAATAAGCCTCTGTCAGCTATTACAAAAAAGCTCAAACCCTGCTCAGGTCCATTCATGCACCTGTGTTCCATGCTAAGGCTTTGACTGCAGCATAAGACCATGTCTTCTTATTACCTAAGAAGCACTAAAATTACATAAAACTAGATATACAGAGAATACTGAAGATCTAGTTATGTCTGGAAGTTCTTACCCAAATTACTGTTAGACCAGGTTGTTTATCATCCTGATATTTAACTGCCAATGACCTGAAATAATGATGTAATACTACAAGCTATTTGTAAGCATTTCTGTGTTTTATATGTAAATATTTATCTTCATACACATCTAGTCTTCACTGTCTAAATCATTATGATCAAAGTTATTCAATACAACCCTTTATAACATGTTATTTCATAGCATGGCCTAATCACATGCTATATCAAAATAAGATTTGGTAAAGGCAGTACAGGAAATAAAGGAAATAAGATTACACTAATTCAGACACTGAATAAAGAATGGAATGACTGTCTTAATTCAGGCAATTTGAATTATTAATGAACTGTTTGCATCTGTAAAGATTCTGTAGAGACTTACTCTATTAGAAAGATTTCCTCAACCATCTGGATCAGGAAATTGGAACCTCAGTTCTGAAAGGTCAGATGCAAGACGCTGCTCTTTTCCAGAATTTCCTTCATTGACTCAAACACTGTTACCAGGAAGCCCATCCTCACAAGTGGGTAACAAAGTGCCACAGTAAAGAGTGTGATGCTGAGACAGCAAGCTATTCACATGGTTCCAGAATTATTCTCCAGCCCCTTAAGAAGGGGGTGTTTCTCCCACTGAAACAGCAGAGCAGGAGAGCAGCAGCTGCAATGGCAGTTTGGGATCTGAGGTTTGTAGGTCTGTCATCATTCACTACTGAAAAGTCACAGCAAGAAGAGAAGTCTATTTTCTCCTGCATCTGGTGCCCTCACCTTTCTGCTCCAAAAGAGAATATTTGTTGTGAAAGTTTCAAGGCCATGGCTGTTTTATTCAGCTCATCAGCCACTGAGAACAGAGAGAAGGATTTTTCCTCATGAACAAATGCTGATTTTATTTGTTCATTCTTCACACTGGAGAATGCTAACACTTCACAGAATCACAGATGTAAAATCACTCAGAATACGTAAAGTGATTTGTGTATTAGTAAACCTCTGGGCTTACAGAAATAACCTAATTTGCTCTCTGTACCTAGCAAATTCTACCTAAAGAACAACATTATTTGTCAATGTCTAAAATTGACTAAGACTTCCCATGAGAAATTTATTATTACTGACAACAGGACTGAAAGAAACCACTAGTCCTTTACATTAGATATTTTATTCCTTTAATCTTGCTCAATTATACATTTTATTGAGTCTGTTATTTATTATTTTTGACCTCTCTGTGTGCCATTCTTTTGGCAATTTGCCAGTCTTCTTTACAGACATTTACTTACACTTCAAAAAATGTCCTCCTTCCTTCTCATACTGCTCTTCCCTTTTAAACTGAAACCAACATCCAAATCTCACTGTGTTTTGGAACTGCAATGAGAGAATTCCCTCCTAGCAAACCAGTAAATATCACAAAGGTTCAGGTAAAGAAAGAGAGGTGATCTTTAGGAATTGCTGTTAAGATTTACAATCCTG